TGTGTGTGTGTGTGTGTGTGTGTGTGTGTGTGCACGCACGGTCTCTTTCAGTTTGGCAGCACGGACAATATATTTAAGATTTAAGATGTACCAATCCGAGTGAGAGTGCTGTTCCAAGCAACCAATTGAGAATGATGGTCGAAGTGTCGCGCCAGGTATGGACTGGAGGCAACGTCCGAGTGAAAGTGATGGTCCAAGGAACCGATTGAGAGAGATGGATGAAGCACCGCGGTAGGTATGGATTGGAGACAACATACCGATTGGGTGTTCCAGCTCGAGGGGTCGTTTTCGAGCTTGACTTCTTTGGGGAATCTGATCCCTTCCTCTGAACAGCTTTTTTCAAAGATGTCTCTTTCTTCACCTTGGACTTCTCCGATGACGACATCTTGTTCAGTTGCCTTCAGGACACAGACAGTTCTGAGTTGTCTCGGTACTACAGCACTCAGCAGTGGAGACACGAATGGCGACCGCAGGAGGGAATTACGGAGCTGGTCAACTTGAGCTCAGCAGCAGACCCAGCAGCAGTACAGCGTAGGAAAAGGTAGGACCTAGCACAAGCAGAGATATTGAAAAAAAACAATTAGTTGCGAGCTAAGAAGGAGAGTGGAGCCCTTTTTTTTTTTTTTTAAGTCAGGTCCTTATGGCCCTGGCTCCGTGAGTGAGAGTGGAGTCTTTATTTTTCAGACTTAGTAATTGGGAAACGGAAATTAAGGACACTACCTTCTTCAGCCCAACACAACGCACCTTTATCGTGAATGTTTACAAGCTACTTTTCCGACTAGATACAGTAGTAAAGTGAGTTGTGTCGCAGGAAGACTGGCAAGGCCAGGGGCTCAATCCCAGGTGGGTGCACGGTTCACTGGACATCAGTCGGCAGAAAATTACAACTTTACAAAAGCCCAAACACACACACACACACACACACACACACTAAAAAAAAAAAAAAAAAAAAAAAAAAAAAAAAAAAAAAAAAAAAAAGAGACAGGCTCCACAGGGGGACTACAAGCAGAAGAAGAGCTCAAGTGGAATCAAGTACAAACCCTTAGGGGACGAGGGCGTACTCACACAAGGGGATTTTTGGGGATGCATGTGACTTTAATTGCATCTCGAGCGAGTCCGAAAGTGTCCCAGTGTGACTACATGCCTAAGGACATCCCGTCACACTGGCAAGTTTTCTGCTTGTATCTGATCGCAATTACGTTCATGTTCTGTGAACGATGTTCAATCTGAGGATGCCCTAAGACTGTCTGGAGGGCCAAAGGCAGTCACAAGTTCAAGTCCTGCTCAAGTTTTTAAGTCCTAAGACCGCTTAAATCCAGTTCAAGTGAGAGTCCTAAGACTGTTTTTAAGTCCAGCTCAAATTTAAATCAAGTTCAAGTTTATCTCCAGCTAAAGTTTTGAGTCCAGCTAAGGTTTAAGTTCAACTCAAGTTGAGCTCGGTACCAGACACAGTGAAGCTGCTACCATAACACCTTAGCCTCAACTTGGGCATCGTTCTGCACTCAGGACAACATCATTAGAGCTCAAGTGGAGCTGACTGCATGGGCACAGGATTATTTGCAGCATTTTCACGTGGCACTTTTTCAAATGGATTTCCTCGTATTTACAGTCTGATACATCCGGTCAAGTCGTACTGTAGGTATACATGCCCTTGCCAGCAAGGAGTAGAGAACATCATTTCTGAGACCAAATTTAACACCCGCGCGACTGCCGGTGGTCCTGACCCTGGAGCAGCGGTAAAGGCCTGGAGAGTGAATTCAATTTCAAAAACTATATAAACAAATCATATATTAATTCTCCAAACTAGGAAACGCACTACAAATCCCCCTCCCTATCCCCCTTCTTCCCCCGTCAGAAAAAAAAACGAAAAAAAAAAAAACCACTATTTTTCAAATGCCAATCGATATTTCATCGCCCTCAGTCTCATAATAACAATGAGCAGGAGGAGAAGGAGGAAGGAGGAAACGTTAATAATTCACAGGAAGATCAAACGCAAATCATCCCCCCTTCCCCCTACACAGAAGACTGAGTGGGAAGCCGATAATCGAAACCGGGAGTCCGGTCCGATCCAATCCCATCATCCAATCGGATCCCGTCTCGAACCTCCATCCAATCAATACAAGATATCACCCAATCATCACATCTGCATTACACCTCCATCCAAACAAGACAAAATCATAATAGAGTGATTGGGTGTTGGCTTGGCGTCTTTCCTTCCTCATTCTTTCGAAACCACCCACGCGACCATGACACTCAAGTCTGAAGGCGTGGAATTAGGAACGAAATTATCCATCCCCATCATCATCACTATCATCTCCCGTCATCGTAATCATCATCATCATCATCATCATCATCATCATCATCATCTCCCATCATCATCAGCTCCCGTCATCATCATAATCATCATCATCTCTCGTCATCATCATCATCTTCCGTCATTATCATAATCATCATCAGCTCTCATCATCATCATCAGCTCCCGTCATCATCATAATCATCATCATCTCCCGTCATCATCATAATTATCATCTCCTTTCCTTGTCAGCATCATCTCCCTTCATTGCCATCATCATCATCATTTCCCACCATCGTCAGCTCCTATCGTCATCATCAGCATCTCCCATCGTCACCATGCCCATCATCATCATCTCCCATATCCCATCATCATCATCATCATCACCATACGCAACCATACTCGGCTTGCCGTCATTCAGCATAACTCATAACGCCGGTTAAACGTAGCTGGCTGGCTTGTCGACGACTATCGGATATGACTAATCTATCAAATGACGCGCGCCGCCAAAAGGACAGCGTCCTGCCACCGTACAAACTTCCTAATATGAGATTGCATAATCTTACCGATTGACGGCTACAAAAAAAAAGAAAAAAGAAAGCCCAAATGAGAACGACAAAATGCAAAAAAAAAGAAACTCTAGAATCGTCCCGCCCACGCGAGCTCAAAAGACCTGGACTGACGGAGAGCCGTTCCGACCCGACCTCGTCTGTCCTCACCTGGACTGACGAAGAACCCGGTCTCTCTGATTACAGTAATAATAACCTCTTTGTCTAGTTCTGGCAAGAAGTTGATGCGGGACGGCAAAATCAAGGACCGAACAGCCGAGCGTATCACGACCCTCAAAATTGCCGACAAATGTCATACGACTCTCGAACCAAGTATGTAAGGGAGAAAACAAATGCGCTCTTGCAAGAATCATCATCATCATCATCATTATCATCCATATCATCATCATAACAGTCATCATCATCGCCATCATGTCCTGGCCATCATCATCGTTACATCGTTACCGTCATCATGATCATCATTATCATATCCTGGACGTCATCATCATTATCATCATTATCATCATTGTCATCATCCACATCATAATCATAATGTGACACCATGAGATCAGCACCAGATCTCTGTCTGGTCTAAGTCTGGTCTGTCGCTATTATCAAGCTGGACGTCACCATGTCATCATCAACGATCGACGGCCACAAAGCGAACGATAACTGGGACAACTTTCCACTCGTAGACGCCCAGGCACCGAACATCAGATAGAGGCTTTTGAACTTTATGATTGAACGTCGCCGTTACTTACACAATAACCCGTAAACCATTTCACATCATCAATCATAATAACCCGTAAATCATTTCACATCATCAATCATAATAACCCGTAAATCATTTCACACTCATCAATCGATTTGCGCGCAGAACCTCTGGCCATCAAGCATTACACGTCATCTACCACCCGCATCGACAAGCCCCGGGACGCGTGCATTTCGTCTTCGTTGGCACCCCACCAAACACCCAACAGTCAAGATTGCCGTGGCACTATTTGTACTCTGCACGTGGTCTAATTACCAAGTTAAGTCGTTTGATGCTGCTACTAACGCATTGACCCCGCCCATCTTAAACCCCTCTCGCAGACAATAACCCCACCCAATACCCGTATCACCACGGTTGTCATTGCCCTCACCAGAGCGCAGCCATCAATGCCAGTTTGCCGCGCAAACTCACTCGATTAGCCGGATAAAGGCAAGGCTATTCGTCTCTCACACGGCCACGTGCCGGCATCATCATCGCCGCCCAGACTCATCTAATTCAAAGGCATCATCCTCGTCGCACTAACTCGTCTGATTAGCCGGACAAAGGCACGGTGTTCCTGTCGCACACGGCCACGTGTGGGCATCATCATAGTCGCGCAAACTCATCCAGTCGGATAAAGGCAAGGCAACTCCTGTCACACACGACCATGTGTCGGCATCATCATCGTTGCGCAAACTCATCCGATTACCAAAGGCGAGGTTGTTCCTGTCACACACAGGCACATCTCGTCATCATCAACGAAGTGACACTCACTCTGAACCTCTTACAACAAGCTAATCCCAGCCGTCATCATTCGCAAACGCTCGTCTGCATTCCCGCGCCTCACGGCGTCACAACCGCGGTGTCACAGTTAAAATGACTACATAAGGGGGGGGGTTACCGGGGATCAAGAAAATTTCTATGAACACCTGACTAGTCATCACCGTCGCAGCCATCACCATCATGATCATCGCCATCGCGATGATTTTCTGCTAATCCCATTGCGCAACGTGGTGATCGTCTACACTGTTGATTTCGCCCTGAAACTCAAATGGGTGCCTTCCCATCATCAGAGACAGCGTCTTTTTTATGCTTCTTTTTAAGAATTTCATTCGGTCATCCGGATTCGAACTCAGGTCGGCATTTCAACAGTTTGTGGGTTTACCAACTGAGGTACCGGTGAGCCCGTTGGTAGATGCAGCCTCTGATTACTGTACTGCCACCAATTGCCATTTCCTGTACTTAATCACACAGATGGCCGGGGAAAGAGGATGACGCCACCACAGAAACAACAAAACATTTCCACCCACAGTTTTCGGACAGCCCCCATCCTACGCCATCGCTCCCTTTCCACACCCTATTCACCGACTACATTTCCCTCCCGTCTTCCCCCGCGCACAACGCGCGCTCATTATAAATTTATAAAAGAAAATCTTCCAGGTCCGCACCTATCCAGTCAAGATAAGGGTGCGCTGTGTTCGCGGGAAGACGGCAGCCGCCTCTTCTCCATCTCTCGCTTTCGCCCCTCTTCTCTCTCCTGTTCTCATTATGACTTTTCTTCTGAGCGACCCCGATGTGTCCTCGCCCATGAAGACACATCGCCCGCCCATACTCGCTGCTATGACGCGCATCGGATACATTTATACGGGTTCCGCGTTTGTACGTCCGCAGTTTCACGCCCGCCCATACTCGCTGCTATGACGCGCATCGGATACATTTATACGGGTTCCGCGACCAGTTTCTCACGTGTAACGTACATCTCAAACTCCAGAAATTCAGAGGAACTCAGATGCAACAAAAAACAAAAAAGAGTAGTAGCGGGTATGCAATTCGCAGCCCGTAGGCTGCGCTATACCTCGTCG